TAAGACTGGGTGAGAGAAACCATTTCAGCACAACTGGCAGTGTAACACCATGATGCCCCCAACACCACACACACAAACCTGCAGCACATGCACACACGGAGTCTATATGCAGTACAGAAAGCCAACTGAACAAGCCCCTGTCCAAAATGTGAGTGCCACGAATTTTCATCTGTGTTATTCACTGATATGTTGCAAGAGCTGAGACCAGTGTCTGGCAGGTAAGTATATGCTCATAACGAGTGAATTTAAAGGAAGCCTAGTTTCCATAAAGTTATCCCCTCACCTAACCTCCTAAGGCAATCACTTGACTTGTAAATTTCCTGGAAGTCTGAGAAAAGGAAAAAACGGACAGTGACTTCTCTGAGTTCCACTGAGCCCCAGAAATCTCTCGTTTGCCTGAGGGTGTGGGGAGAAGCCTGAGGGAATAATGGTACAGTCCTCAGAGAGACAAAAAGCACTCTCTCAGGTCTCTGATAACCTTTCAAGTCCTGAAGAGTAGGTAAGAAGTTTGGCTACCATGAATAGGACCACTCAGTTTCTAAACGTCACAGCACCCAAGGACACCATTCCCAGAGAAGACTACTAGAGGGTAGGATGAGGTGGGCAGAAGGTAGATGAGATTAGGGGTGAAAGCCTGATGATCTGCCAAAGCATGGGACGGAAAGGCAGAAATGTAAGTGGAATGTAGCATGACCCTAGCAGCCAAAAGAAACAGTTGAATCTCTCAAGGAACTCCTCAAGTGTAGTGATGGTGGCTGCTCAGGCTTGAGTCCCTCACCAGCCCAGCCAGACCACAGTTTACAAACAGAGAGCTAAATCAGCAGCCTCAACAGAACATGTTGTCAAATGATCATGTCTAAAGACTGTTGATTAATGAGCTGATGTCAGCCAGGTGGAAGGTTATGAAAGCATGGTGTCACCAAGTTACCCTAGGACCTATTTGTAATATTCCCTTACAGAAAGCTTACACCTGGAAATGTAAGAAATGTGGGAAGGCAATTTATTCAGGGTAAAGGCCTTGGAAGTCTAAATAATTCATACTGCTGAAAAACTCTATTTATCCTTTTAATGCCTTTCAATCCGTAGTGATGCCCCTACTATCATTCCTGATTTGATAATTTGTGTCTTCTTTTTTATCCTGATAATTCCACCCAGAGGCTTATCAATTTTATTGATCTTTTTTAAGAGCCAGCTTTTGGTTCTATTGATTTTCTCTATTATTTATCTGCTCTTATATCATTGTTTCTTCTCTTATCTTTATTACTTCTTTCTGTTTATTTTGGACTTGGTTTGCTCATTTTTTCTGTTTTCTTAAGGTAGAAGCTTAGATCATTGCCTTGAGATGTTTCTTCTTTTCTAATGCAAGAATTTATTGCCTTAATTCTCTCTAAGCACTACCCATGCATTTTGATATGCTGTGTTTTCATTTTCATTTAGTTCAAAGTACTTTCTAATTTATTCAGTCATTTCTCCTTTTATTCATGGGTTATTCAGAACTGTCTCACTTAGTATTCCAATATTGTGAGATTCTCTGGGTATCTTTCTGCTATTAATTTTTAATTTAATTCTACTGTAAGACATACTTTGCATACCCTTCCATACTTTGAATACTTTTCAATTTATTGAAACTTGTTTTGTGGCCTAGAATATATTCTACTTGGTAAATTTTCCATGTGCACTTGAAAAGAATATACAGTATTCTGCTGTTCCTAGGTAAAGTGTTCTATATCGATTGTCATGTCCTCTATATCCCTACTGATTCTGTTTACTTATTCTACCAGCTGAAATCCTGAACAACAAATGTGGAGTTATTTCTCCTTTCAATTGCATCCATTTTTGCTTCATGTACTTTGAAGGTCTGGCATAAACATTAAAGAGTGTTAGGTACTCTTGATGTCTTGACTCCTTTATGATTACGAATTGTCTCTCTTTACCTCTGTAAATTCTTTGTTCTGAAATCTTCTTGTCTATTATTAACATAGCTACTCCAGCTTTCTTCAGATTAATGTCTGCATAGTATATCTATTTCTATCCCTTTATACTTTTAATTTATCTGAGTCTTAGTATTTAAGGTGGGTTCATGTAGACAGCTTATAGTTGCATCTTTTCTAGCTAATCTGACAATCTCTGCCTTTTGACTGAAATTTAGACCTTCTGTAATTAATGCAAATATCAATATGATATTATTTAAATATATTATCTTTGTTCCTTCTTTCCTCTTTTCCTGTTTTCTTTAGAATTAAATGAGTAATATTTATTCCATTTACTCTCCACTATACAATAGTTAGTGCTACTGTATTAGCTCTAATTCTGTTTGTTAGGTTTTAGAGATAACTCAAGTTTAATTTACTTCATCACAGTCTATTGTCAAATACCATTGTGTCATTTCACAAACAGTCTAAGAATTACAAAAGTAAATTTTTCTATTTTCCTCCTCCTTTATTTTTTTGCTAGTATTATACATTATAATTTTACATGAAATATCATTGCCATAGTTTGCCTTAAACAGTTACCTTTAGTGTTTAAAAATTTTTAAAGCCTATATATTTATCCCCATATTTTCCATGTCTTGTGTTCTTTCTTTCTAAAGATCCAAATTTCCATCTAGTATCATTTTCTTTCTGCCTGATAAACTTCCTTGAACATTTTTTATAGTGAAGATCTGTTAGTAATGAATTCTCTCAGCATTTGTTTGACTGAAAAGTCTTTACTTCACCTTCATTTTTGAAAGATACTTTAAAGATATTGCTCCATTGCCTTTTTGCCTTCATATTTTCTGATGAAAAGTGTACTCTCATTCTTTTGTTTCTCTGAATGCATGTGTCATTTACTATCAAGTTTTAAGATTTTTCTCTTCAATTTAATTAGGACATGTCATTGTTTTGTTTTCACGTTTCTTCTCCTTAGGGTTGGTTAAGGTACTTGGATCTGCGAGTTTATAGTTTTTATCAAATTTGGGGAAAAATATTTCTTCAAATATTTTTCTATTACCCTCCCTTCTTCTGAGAAGCCACTTACATATATATTAGACTGCTTGATAATGAAACGCAAAACGTATACTCTTTTCTTAATTGCTTTTTTCTTTGTACTTGACGTTGGATAACTTATATAGCTATGTCTTCTAGTTCATTAATATTTTCTTCTCCAGTATCTAATCTCTTAATTGTATTCAGTGTATATTATTACTTTAGATATTGTACTTTTCATCTCTAAAAGTTCTATCTGGGTCATTTTTATACCTTCCATTTATTTCTTCATTATGCTTTCGTCTACTACTTGAATGATATTTATAGTAGCTTGTCTGCTGTATTTGTCCATTTTCACACTGCTATAAAGAACTACCTGAGACTGGGTATTTTAGGAAGAAAAGAGGTTTAAATGACTCAGTTCCACAGGCTTAACAGGAAGCATGGCTAGGAGACCTCAGGAAACTTACAGTCATAGCAGAAGGCAAAGGGAAGCAAGCACATCTTACCATGGTGGAGCAGGAGAGACAGAGGGAAAATGGGGAAGTGCTACACACTTTTAAACAACCAGATCTCGTAAGAACTCACTCACTATCATGAGAACACCAAGGGGTGTTCTCCATATCCATGGAGAATACTCCATATTCATATCCATATGGGTGTTCACCATAATCCAATCACCTCCTACCAGGTCCCTCCCCCAATACTACGGGTTACAATTCAACATGAGATTTGGGTTGGGACACAGAGCCAAATCATATCATTTACTAATGCTGTCATCTGTCATTCTGAGTCTGTTACCATCGACTAAAGATTCTCCTGACTGTGGAATGCCTTTTCCTTTTTTTTTTTTTTTTTTTCCTTGGCATGCCTGGTAATTTTTTATTAGATGCTAATCACTGTGAATGTTACACTTTCGGTGCTGGATTTTATTGTAGTTTTTATTTTTATTCTGAGGGGTTGTCTCCCCTTGGATGCAGTTAAGTTACTTGAAATCAGTTTGATTCTTTCAAATGTTGCTCTTAAACTCTGTTAAGGCAAGTCCAGAGTAGTCTTCAGTCTATTCCCATCTCCATAACCTAACCCTAACCCTACTTTGGCAATATCTTGCTGAAGACTCTACTCAATGATCCATGTACTATATTAAAAGATCCACTATTGTTGAAACACGCATTCTTCCCAGCCCTGTATGAGCTCTGAGGAATTTTTCTTTTTTTCTTTTTTCTTGTTTTCTTTTTTTTTTTTTTTTTTTTTTTTGTTGCTCTGTCATCCTGTTGCTTAGGCTGGAGCACAGTGGTACAATCTCAGCTCACTGCAACCTCCACCTCTCGGGTTCAAGCAATTTTCCTGCCTCAGCTTCCCAAGTAGCTGGGATTACAGGCACCTGCCACCATACCCGGCTAATTTTTGTATTTTTAGTAGAGTTGGGGTTTCACCATGTTGACCAGGCTGGCCTCAAATGCCTGACCTCAGATGACCCATCTGCCTTGGCCTCCCAAAGTGCCAGGATTACAGGTGTGAGCCACCAAGCCCAGCCCTCTGAGGAATTTTTCATCACTCCTTTCTCCTGTCATTCTTTCTCCAGCCTCAGGCAATTTCCTGCCTCAATTTTGTTTTCTTCCTTTAAGGAATGTTCCATTTTATTTGGCAGACAAAATGAGGTTACTCAGAAATCATCCTGAGTCTCTCAAGGATTATTTTTAAGCTTTCTTAAAGTTGGTATACATGAGCCTTTAGTCTAGCTCCAGTTTGGATCTCCCACGAAAGTATGACTTTTCTGAGTTTCTGCTCAATGCCCCACATGTTCAAGATCTTTCCACTTTAACTAGTTGGCATTCAAACATCTCCCAGCTTGGTGTGAGCTCTGAGAGTTTTTCATCTTATAACTCCCTGGCAGTTTTTCTTTTTCACCTAATGTAACACATATGCATCTATGTCTACTTAAATATAAGTTAATAAACTTCTCATTTTTAAGGCTTACATGTATATTTTCAGAAGCAGCAAGGTAGACAAAAAACACTGGTGAAAATTGTATCTGATCCTAAAGTCAGTCTTTTGGAGACTACAATTTCATTAGATGGATGCTGACAGCCATCGAGAGAAAAGGAAATCACGCTGAGTTTCTGGGGACTACTGCAAGAAGAAAAAGAGAACATAGAGAGCTGGCCTCAACCTCAAAAGTGATCCTACATCCAACCAAATTAAAAAATCCACATGAAGTTTCTCAAAACCTACTACAAACAATTTATCAAGATAACTGGTTAGCACTTGGGGTACAATGTGATAACCAGACGTCATTTTTCTTGGAAAAATCGGGGTTAGAACCATAGCTTTGACTTCATTATCAATACATTTAACCAAAATCTGGGCTCCTCTACGGAAGTAGCTTAAATGCCTTGCAGATTAACCATGGACTAAGAACTTTCTTTGATCTTGAATACTCTTCCAAAACACACAACCCCAGGGCTCCATTTCTCACCCAACATAATTATACCCGAGCAGAGCATTATCTAATAATATCAAGCCAGGAAACTGTCTTGGGGTACTAAGGTGAAAGGATTTAGCCAAGTAGCAACCCAAATATGAACAAGGAAATGAACCTAAGACATATTAAGCATTTAGAATAAGCCCCACCTGACTGACGACCAAGGTAGATTAAGCTTCATCTTTAATTATTGATGTTAATGATCTGCCGTGAGCAAGACGATCTCTAAGGTATTTTCTAATTGTGAAATATTATTCTGTCTTATGTGTCAGACATAACTGATAGCCTAATACTACGTGTGCTTTGCTGACATTTCTGTCTGTCTTACCAAAAGTAAATAGTTCAACTGTTGTCATCATCTAAAGGTGCCACCACTTTTATTTGTTTACCAGATCAGCAGATGATACTGGTCCATTACCCTTGACCTAGTCAGACCTTGACAAAAGACTTAATGGTGCTATTTAGGATGCATTTCCTTGCTGCTTTGTGCAGGTGGCTTTCTCATTGTTGCATAGACAGTGATAGGAACATCAGTTATTGTCAGGCAATGACTTCCAGGGCACCTCCGGAGTTGCCTGAATAAAAAAGCAAATGACATGTAGTTAGATATTAAAAAGAGGAAATTTTTTTTCAGAGCACCAAAGTTTGATCGTATATTTTACTGTTTTAAATCACTTTGAAATCTCTGAACGTCATAAAATGAGTACAACATGGTGATGCTGATGAGGCACCCATTTTAGACTGATATAACAAAGAAATTGTGGCCTCTGACATACATTTAATCACAAGAAATTCATATATTCAAAGATAATCCTCCAGATATTCATTTTGAAAGGTATGCAATGATTGCTAAATGGCAAAACAAAAGTGCATAGTTACAAACATAAGAGATAATACCATGGCAATTCATGTGCATATGCACCCTACATCGCCTCATTTGAGTGATTTCAAAACAAGAATGTTTGTGGCAAAATACAAAACTGAACATAGTATTTCACATACCGTTCAAATGTTGATAGAATCTCATATTTGAAATGGCCCTTAAATGACACCTAGTCCAAAAATACATCTAGTATATGAATTTCCTTTCCAACATTCCCACCAAATAGTCATTCAGCCTTGCACATTTCTAAAGACCAGGAGCTCACTACTTCCCAAAGCAGCCTATTTCATCGTAACTCCAATTTTTAAGTACCTACACCTGTTAAACTTAAATCTGTGTTCCCAAAATTTCCAAGCCATGAGAATCTAACAATGTAGTATCTAAGGTTTTGCTATAGTAAACATCACAGAAGTGAAACTAATCATTCTGCAAAAATACTTTGTCTCACAGAATCTTCATGCTCTATATCACTCTTTCTGCCAAAGGTCACAGCACAGCCAAAGCGACACTAATCAAAGCCAAAGTGACACTGAATCTGAGGTCTAAGTCTTTTTCATATTTTTAGCCTTATGCCTAGCACGGTGCCCTACACATACTAGCATTGAAGGTTTGTTTGTTTAATTGAATGTTATCTAATCGTGAAGCTATCAACAACCTATTAGGTTGGTGCCAAGGTAATTGTGGGTTTTTTGTTAATAGCTAAAAATGTACCAGAAAGAGAGAGATTGAATTGGTCTATCATCAAGACTTACAGAAATACAAAATACAGACTCCATACTAAGGAAACCTGGGCTCTGTTCATACTAACTTAGAAACAACAATATTTTGGAATTGCTGAGGGTTTTTTCTTGCTAATACTGAATATCAGCTGAAGGTTGTATTGATGATAGCCAGTACGTATTTCCTCACTTGTGAGGATAGAAGACTTTACCTGGTTGGTGACATCTCCTTCGCATTACAGGCAGCACTGGAGCTCAGCCCCGGTTCCAGCCCAATTGAAGAGTCTCCTCCTTCCACTGGAAACCTCCTTGGCTGGGTTCCAAATCGAAAAGGCATAATTCACTGAAAACCTAGATTAGAAAGTTAAAATATTGAAAACCTAGATTAGAAAATTAAAATGTTGGGGGTGGAGATAGATTGTCTTCAAAGACTTGTATGGAATGTTTTACAGAGTCAGAGTCTCACTATGTCGCCCAGGCTGGAGTACAGTGGTTATTCACAAGTGGAATCATAAGGCACTACAATTTTGAAACCCTGGGCTTAAGCGATCCTCCTGCCTCAGCCTCCTGAGTAACTGGAACTACAGGTGGACACAATGTGCCTGGCCTTGGGATTTTTAATATTACTATTTTGTTATAGATGTATAGAAACATTCTGAATGTTATTCTATTTTTAAATAGCTAAAAAAGTGTTAAAAATTACTGTATTTCACAACCATCCCTTACGTACAATTTTAAGTCTTGCAAAAAACACAAAATAGCCACCAAGCAATGCAAGGAAAATGTACCCTATGGTTAACATAACTGAAGACCATTTCTGCTGTGTGAAAACAAAATTTAGTTTGTCTTTAAATGGTTGTTGCAATCAACAAGCACCTCTCTACCTATCTATGCTCTTCTCTTCCTTTGGAGCACAGTTTCACATTCACTGAAATATCTTCAGCTAATCCTTCTGTTCCAGGTGATTATTCATTTCCCCCCTGCTTCTCTATAGTCACAGTATAGTCCCTGGCTCTGGCCCTTCCCAACTATGTGATCTTAGTCAAGGTACTTACCTATATTTCTCAAGGGTACATTGGTGATAATATTTTCTACTTCTAGGATAATAGGATTAAGTAAGGTAATACACGTAAAGTGTAGTGCCTAACACACAGTAAGTGCTCAGTAAATGTTAACTATTACTATTCAACAGGTACTACTGAGCATTAGTAAATGCATAGAAATGTCTGCAAGTATACCTGATATATGAAATGAACTCCTTACTGCCTACCTTGGAACTCTTCCCTACCCCATTGCTCCCACTCTTCACTCACTATGGCCAATGCAATCCACTAAGCCTGAATTTACATTTTACTTACTCTATAACTTACTTTTATAACCCCCATTATCTACATTTTCATAGCAACCTTTATTTCTACTTGGTAACAGTTATCCTTCTAATTCAGGGTTTCTCAATCATGACACTATTCACAGCTGGGATCAGATAGTTCTTAGCTGGGGAGGGAAGATACTGTCCTGTGCACTGTAGGATGTTTTGTAGCATTCAAGGCCTTCACCCACTGGATGTAAATAGTACCCCTCTCCCAAAGTTGTGACAGTACAAAATGTCTATAGACATTGTCAAATATCCCCTGTTGGGAGAGAGAGGCAAAACTGCCCACTGTTGAGAAACACTATCCTCATTTTTTGTAAATGTTTAATATCCCCCCTCATTCCAAGTCTGTCTTTGTCATCACTGAATACTTAATACCTAGAACAGTGCTTGGTTAGCTTTATCTTGAAATAATTTGCATGTATTCAACTATTAGTACACAAAGGATAGGAAAAATTTTAAATAGTGCAACTATTTCTTACACTTAGTATAGTATTCTATGCCTAAAAATAAATGTTTATTGGTGGTAATAATAAAATCAAATTAAGGTTTAAGAATTTTAATACAATAACTTTTGTAGACTGTGTGTCAATATCAAGAAAAAAAGTGTTTTGCTCAATGATGATTTAGTAAAACCATAGTAAACTCTGTGGTTTAGTATAACTACCTGTCTATACAGGTATTAACATTTAGCTAATTTGATCAAGGATAAACAGACTTACCAAAAGAGGCTGAGTCTGATTCCTGTAGAGGTGAATAAATCAATGCTTTCTACTGGCCTTCCATAGAAGGCTGGAATTGCCAAAGGAATGATGATCAAATGTTCCAGTGACACCCGGAAATTATGACATCAGGAGATTCTTTCACATACTTTCCTACCTGCAAAAGAATCAAACATCTCAATGCATAGCTCCAATAACAAGCTGAGGCTTAGCTAAAGATTTTCTGTAAAGCTTTTTGGAGGGTTTCATTCTTGTTTTTACCGGCTTATTTCCCTACAATATTAGTATTTTCATCCATGAATGGGGACCTACAGTCTAATCCATCTGTACAAAATCAGAATTGAGATTCTTCTCATTTTATATCCTGTTTTCCTCATTCTCTTTCTCTCCTAGACCTTCTCTTATAATATTCCAAATAAATACAATCTATCTATATCCTCATCCCATTCCAATATCCTCAAACCCAAATTGTACCTTTACAAATTTCTCTATAACTCTTACATGGGATTCTTTACACCCTCTCTCTAATGCCTGGACTAACCTTTTTTTTTTTTTTTTTTTTTTTTTCCTATTTCCTCAAGAGAGTCTTCAAATTCCCAAATGGCTGGAAGAATTACAATTGTGAAAGGAAGAATACACCTTGTACTGTCCTCATTAGTCTGTTCCCTGGGCCCTGGGCTGCTTCTCTGCTGATTTCTCTAACTGCTCTCCCTCTCCCAACTCATTCTTGGCTTCTAAATCAATAGCTTACCTCATGAACAGCTGCTCTACTCAGTAATGTCTAGTTTAACCCTTACACCAGAACATAACTCTTCAGCTAAGCAGTTTTTCAGTTTTCATATCTGATGACTAAACCATTAAATGTTAGTGAGCATTCTTACCACTGTTGTGTATTCATATGACTCATGTTATAGAACACTGGCATTTTACATAAGAACTAACGTGATGTTGGATACAATCTTACCTCTACCTTCTTTTTCTTACTAGGGTACTATCTGTGAATAAGTTGATCACCATTTTAGCTTGGAAAACTGATGGTGTCACAGTCACACAAACAAATAATTGCTGGCCATTGTTAGCTAAGGTATCATTAGGACCTAAATATTTAGTACTTAGGATGGCAAAAAAAAATAATAGCTTACATGTTTGAGAAGTGGTAGCAGTGGGAAAATGATGGGTTTCAGCATCAGAATTAGGTTTGATTTTTTTTTCTTTTTTTTTTTTTCTTTGAGACAGGGTCTTGCTCTGTCACCCTGGCTGGAGTGCAGTGGCATGATCATGGCTCACTACACGCAGCCTCAACCTCCTGGGCTCATGCAATCCTCCCACCTCAGCATCTCAAGTAGCTGGGACTACAGGTGTTAACCACCATGCCCAGCTAATTTTGTATTTTTTTGTAGAGACAGAGTTTTATCATGTTGCCCAGGCTGGTCTCAAATTCCTGGGCTCAAGTGATCCACCCACCTTGCCCACCCAAAGTGCTAAGGTTACAGGCATGAGGCCACTGTGCCCAGCCAGGTTTGAATTTTGACACAATGTTAGCTCTGAGATTTTAAGCAAATCACTAAAAGTTTGTCTGTAAAATGGTATTAATTCCTACCTTATAGAGTTGTTGTGAGGAATTAAAATCAATTTAACATGTATAAAGCCAATGACTGGGACACAAGAATTCAATCAGCACTACTTCCTACATATTTTTGTGTCATTCTTGAAAACAGAGTATTAAGACACTGATTTCACTTTTTAGTCACCGATATATATGAAGTAAAATATCTGTAAGTAGGATATTCTTAAAATTCTGTAATTTACCATTTTAACTAGTCTATTTGCCATACCATGCTTCTTTAGAATGGGTGATACAATGAAACAAATCAAACCTTAGCCTTAATGATGAAACTTTACAACAGTAGAATGATACATCAGAACACAAAAGGAACTTGAGTCTCCAGCATATTTTCATAAAGCAACAGATAAACAGAGCAATACAAATGGTGAATAAAAAGATGGGGAAGTATCCAAATACCCCCTTAAGTATCATAAGCTCAAGAGCAATAGTCTTTCAATTCTCAAGATGTTAATTCATGAGATGCAGAAAATGAGTGATATTTGAATTCGTCATGTTCTAAGAAAAAAAGACCCATAGACTTCATTCATTCATTTAACGAATATTTGCTGAGAATCCACCATGAGTCAGGCACGTGTTAAGTGTTAAAGATAAAAGGTCAAGCTAAAACAAACACAGTTCCTGTTGTGGTAGAGTTTATAGGTTATGATAGGATTTGTTTTGGTCTAGGATATTTAATCTAAATCTAAAAGATGAGTGGGCATTAATTAGGTGGCAATGAGTGGGAGACAAAAACATTGACACAGTTGAGGTGGGGGCAAACAGAGGAAAATAGCATGTGCAAAGGTCATGCCAGTAAAGACAATAAAAAATCTGAAAGGCCAGCATAACCAAAGCACAGAAAACAGAAAATAAATAGAGTCTGAGACATAAGTACAGACCAAATCATGCAGGAGCATAAACTCAAGTTAAAATTTTAGACTTTGTCTTATGAACAAGGAAGCCCATCAAATAATTTTAATTTCTCAGGACACACATTTAGGTTTCATTGATTTTTCTCTATTTTCTATTTACCATTTACTTGATTTCCACTCCAATCTTTATTATTTCTTTTCTTCTGTCTACTTTGGGCTTAATTTGCTTTTCTTTTTCTAATTTCTTAAAGTAGAAGCTTAGGTCATTGATTTTAGTGCTTTCTTCTTTTCTAATGTAAACATTTAATTCTATACATTTCCACCAAAGCACTCCTTTAGCTGCATTCCACAATTTTTTTAATTTTGTATTTTCATTTCCTTCAGTTAAAATTTTTCTTTTTCTTTTCTTTGGCCTATGGGTTATTTACAATTATATTGTTTAATTTTCCAATATTTAGGAATATTCTACTTTTCTGTTACTGATTTATAATTAGGTTCCATTTTTGTTAGAGGACATTCTTTGTATGACTTGAATCCTTTTAAATTTACTTAGACTTGTTTTTATAGCCAGAATGTAAACTGCCTTGGTAAATGTTGCACACACACTTGAACGTATATGCTGCTGTAGTTGGCGTCAGTGTTCTACATAAGTATTTTCCAATATTTAGGAATATTCTACTCTTCAGTTCTGATTTCTAATTAGGTTGGTTCCGTTTTTGTCAGAGAACATTCTTTGTACGACTTGAATTCTTTTAAATTTATTTAGAGTTGTTTTTATAGCCAGAATATAAACTGCTTTGGCAAATGTTCCACATGTACTTGAATGTATACGCTGCTATAGTTGGCTTCAGTGTAAGTAATTTGTTGATTGACAGAATTGTTCAAGTCTTCCACATTCTTACTGATTTTCTATATACCTGGTTTATCAACTATTGAAGTAAGGGTGTGAAATCTACAACAATAATTGTAATTTTATTTACTTCTCCTTTCTATTCTGAAGTTTTTAGTTCAAGTATTTTGAATATGTGTATAATTTATCTATAAATTTTGAATATGTGTATAATTTATAGATAAATTATACCACCTCACATACACTAGAAGAACCGTATAAAAGTATAGTCCATTTCCCCTCCCACTACATATAATTTTGTTGTCATATTTTAATTCTATCTATAGTACAAACCCCATACACATCGTTATACATTTTCTTTTAAGCAATTGTCTTTAAAACAAGAGAAGTCTTTTATATTCATCTATATATTTATAGTTTTCAGTGCTCTTTATCCCTTTGAGTAGGTCCAGATTTTCATACAACATAATTTTCCCTTTGCCTGAATGTTTTCATTTAACAGTGCTTGTCTGTTGCTGATTAATTAATTTAGCTTTTATATCTCTTTTTTTCATATTCATTGTGGAACAATATTTTAACTGGGTATAGAATTCTCAATTGTCAGTTTTGTTTTCTTTAAGTACTTTGAAGATTTGGGTCCACTATTTTCTGGCTTGCATTGTTCCCAACAAGAAGTCTGTTGATTTTTTTTATCTTTGTTCCTCTATATGTAATATGTCTTTTTTCTCTGGCTGGCTTTAATATTTGTTTTTTATCACTGATGTTAAGCAATTTGATTATAACGTACTTGTTGTAGTTTTCTTTCTGTTTCTTGTGCCTAAGATTCATCCAGCTTCTTGGATCTGTGGGTTCATAATGCTTATCACATTTGAAAATTTTTTAGCCTTTGTTTCTTCAGATATTTTTTTGTTCCCTCCTCTGGCATGCCAATTACATGTATGTTACATTGTTGAAAGTTGTCCCACAGTTCACTAGTTCTCCTTTTATAAAAAATCTTTGTTTTCTGTTTTATTTTGCACAGTTTCCATCACTACATCTTTAAGTTTGCTAATCTTTTCTTTTGCCTAATGTCTAATCTGCTCTTTATTCCATCCATTTTTCACCTTAGATGTTGTACTTTTCATCTCTAGAAGTCTAATTGGGATCTCTTTTATATATTTCTTTGTCCCTTCCCAATCAGCCTGGGCTTCCTTCTGTCCTTCTGAACATATACTGCTTTAATGTTCTTTTAATTTTATGTAATTGTTATGTTTACTAATTCTTTCATTTGTGCCATTTCTTGTTCTGTTTTTAACTAATTTTTCACCTCACTATGGGACTCATCTTTGCATATCTGGCAATTTTTGACCTGAGTGCCAGGCACTGTGATTTTACATTGCTCAACAATTTTATTTTTATTCCTCTAAGTATTTTTAAGTTTTGGTCTGGGACACAGTTATTTGGAAACAGCCTGGTTCTTTGGAGGCTTGGTTTCATGCTCTCTTAGGCTAGATCACAACAGCCTTTCATCTAGGGCTAATTTTTCACCACTACTGAGGTACCTTTCTGAGTATTCAACTCAATGTTCCAGCTATTTTAAGTTTCTCCACTCAAGATACAGGGAATGTGAATTCGTCCTAGCCCTATGTGAGCCCTAGGAAATGTTCTGCCCGCTTCTTTCCGACGGTTCTTTCCTCAGTGTTACTTAGTTTCCATGAATTCATGCAAGGATCAGCACTCAGTGTGCAAATTGTAGTTGTCTGATCGTCCAAAATTTCTAACTCTGTCGCCTCAACTCAATGTGGCCATTGGGTTGTGTTTGGACTCTATTCATTAGAAAGGTGACATTAGGTCTAGCCTACCCTCAAGGAGAGGGGCTTACACAAGAACAGGAGACAGAGATCATTGGGTGCCATCTTAGGGGATGCCTACCGCAGATGCTGTATTCTGAGGTAATGTCTGAGAATGCTTGTGCAGTACACACAAGTGTTTATCAAATATTTCTGGCTTTCTCTTTTCCAGAAATTGAAATTCCTGGCCACTTTATGATTACTTGCAGCCCATGTGATTAGTTTTAGTCAGTGAATTATAAGCAACCATTAATTGCTAGTGCAAGACCCTCCTGAGCTTTGTCTCTACCACAAAAACCAGAAATGTATCTCACATCATAAATAAAAATCAACCAAAATTAGTTCAAGACTCAGACCTAAGACCTGAAACTAAAACTACTAGGAGAAAACAGGAAAAAAAATCTCCACAACATTAGTTTGGGCAATGATTTCTTGGATACGACCCAAAAAGCACAGGAACAAAAACGAAAGTAGACAAAAGGGATTACATCAAACTAAAAAGCTTCTGCACAGCAATGGAAACAATTAATAGAATGAAGAGAAAACTCACAGATTAGGAAAAGATATTTATAAACCATACATCTGCTAAGGGGACAACATCCAAAATACATAAAGAACTCAAACAACTGCACAAGAAAACACATAGCCCAATTAAAAATGGGCAAAGAATCAGAACAGACATTTCTCAAAAAATACATATAATGGCCCACAGATATATGAAAAAATACTCAATATCACTAATCATTAGGGAAATGAAAATTAAAAAACATAATGATATTTATCACCTCACATCTGTTAGAATGGCAGCTATCAAAAAGATAAAAGATAAATGTTGGCTAGGATGTGGAGAAAAGAGAGCCTTTTTAACACTGGTGGTGGGAATTAAATTAATACAGCCATTATGGAAAACAGTATGGATTCCTCAATCAAAAATAGAATCACTGTATGATCCAGCAATCCCACTTCTGGATATATATCCAAAGGAACTGAAATAAGTATGTCAAAAAGATATCTGCACTCCCATGTTTACTGCAGCATTATCCACGATAGCTAAGATATGGAAGCAACCTAACTATCCATCAACAGATAAACAAATAAAGAAACAGATAAAGAAAATGTGGTATATATACACAATAGAATACTATTCAGCCTTAAAAAAGAAGAAAATGCTGTCATTTGTGACAACATGGATGACCCTGGAGGACATTATGCTAAGTGATATTAGCCAGCCACAGAAACACAAACACTGCATGATCTCACTTATATGTGGAATCTAAAAAAGTCAAGCTCATAAAAGTAGAGAGTAGAATGGTGGTTACCAGAGGGTAGTAAAGCTGGAGGGTGAGACAGCGATAGGGAGCAGAAGATGTCCAAAGGATACTAATAATATATATTTCAAAACTGCTAAAAGAGTAGATTTTTAATGTTCTCATCACAAAAAAAAAATCTGAGTATGTGAAATGACAGACATGTTAATCAGATTGATTTAATCATTCCACAATGTAAATATTTATCAAAAAATCAACTGTACCCCATTAATATATACAATAATTAATTTAAAATCAAATAAATCAAAAACTGGACCAAATAATGGCAGATCATCAGCCTGAGTGCCAGAAGGGGGATACCATAAAGCATAGCCCCCAGACACCCTCAATGGACATGCATCATGTGTATCCTTTTAATCTATGTATTTTTCTTCCTTTACTTTTTATATCAAGCACATTTCTTCCTCCATTTGCTGTGGGCACATGTTAATCTTATGTTGAGCTATCTTTGTCTCCTCCATACATATTATTTTTAATAACTTTCATATCTTCGCGTTTTGCCTAGTATTCTGTCATTATTTTAAGCCTTTCCTCTACATTATAATTTGATGTGCATCTCTCTAGTCTGCTTCTTAATGCTTTTAAAAATTATTCCTTTAAGTCCTTTAAGGTGGATGTTGTCTTCAGTTAATTTCCTTAGTTCTTTTATCTCCATTTTATTTCATTTATTCATCAAATATTTACTTACTATCTACTATATGCAAGGTACTATCCCTAGTAGTGGATAAAAATCACAAGACTCAGCCCTCATAGAGCTTGAGTCTTATTATTTTGGTATCTTGTCTTTAAGTTCCTGTTTTATTGCATTCATATTCTTAAGTTCTTCTTCAGCACAAAATATATATGATGAATTTTCTTTTTTCCCCTCTTAGGCTAGGTTTTACCCCAAGGTCTTGTACTTTATCCATCTTTTACACCTTTCCTTCCTTCCCCTCCCCCTTCCCTCCCTCTCTCCCTTCCCTCCCTGTCTTCCTTCCTTTCTTCAATATTAGTAGTCCATAGGATTCCCAATGATTTTTTTCTCTTTTTCATTTTCAGCATGTGGAATTTTGTTCACTCTATTTGCTCTGTACGTTAGTCAGCTATCAGTATAATAAAACTGCACCCCAAAATTTCAGTGGCTTCAACCAAAAACATTTCTTTTCCTTATAAGATTCTGAATAGCCCGCTGCAGTTCAACCAATCTCAACTTGGCTAACTTGGGTTTGCATATATGGAAGTTTTGGAGTGGCTGGCATGTGAGGCTCTACCTTGCTTGACTTTTAAGCAGAACTGTCTCTCAGTCTGATTCTCTACAGACTGGAGTTATTAATAAGACATGTTAGGACTTTTCTTTCCTATATGTGGCTTCTGGGGAATAATGATTGGGACTGCATGAAGGGTGGGCTCTGCAAAAGCCAGTGTATCATCTCACCTAGCACTGATAACACACTGATACAGACCTATTCACATCACTGCCTACAAACTGGATCAAGACTTGCAAATTTTGGAAGCCCCAGACTTTGGGACTTTAGCATCAAGACCTAAAGTGCCCAACTCTACCTCTATCGCTGACCCCATACTCAGTAAGCAGTTAAGAATAAATCCAGCCTACAAAAATTTACTGACCAAAAGCTGCCTATTACCAAAAGATATAAAATCCATTGCAACTTTAAACCTACCAGCTACCAGAGAAATGTAATAGTAACTACTACATGTCTTGGTGGGACAACAAAGTGTTCTAATCAATTGAATATTACAATTCATATTAGCACATATTCATAGTACATACCATATGACTTTTTATTAAACAAAGAAGACTTCTTAGAGTTTCGTGGTTCTTCAGAATTTTTGTGGAAAAGATTTTATTAAAGAAGTACTTGAGTTCTTAATTAAAATCTGGTCTAATTTGATCAATAGAAGTTTACATATTTTAATGTTTGACAATTTTAAGGAGTTGGTAGTTGTCATAATGACTAATTTTTTAATCTTCTCCTCCTCTATCCCATCTAAATGCCTAGTGTTAATCTCGTCTCTTCTATCAGACTTCTATTTACTCATCTACATCCTCAACCACTGAATCCTATTGCACTTAAAGTTAACGCCATACAATTCTTTGAGTATTTCGCGTGTATGTCTTCAATCAGATTGTAAGCTTCTTGGTACTGGATCTATGCCTTAATTTCTTTTTAATCTTCCCAGAGAGCCTACAAGTTAATTTGGGGAGTATACAGCGTTTAACAAATACTGGTGGGGTCTGTGATCTTAGCTTTGCCGTTTTTGTCAAAGTGTATAACCATTTAGTTCCAATTGTGCCCTGACATGTCTGTTTCTCAGGGGTTTCTCTTTGCTCAACGCCATTGTTCATTTTCTATTAGAATAAAGGTCTTGTTGGACAGAGATGCTAATTCAGATTCCAGTCCCGTGGAATCTGAATAAACGGACTGATCCACCGCCCAGGGTGTTGAGGCTGTGAACAAAAATTAAACCTCTGATAGCCTACGAACAGCTTAACGATACATATTTAAAAATATCACTCCAAAGCCTAGTTACCCGCCAGTTACCCCGGCCTCCGGAGCTGCCGATGCTCAAAGATGTTGACAAGGCAGTTAGGATCTGCAGTCCAGAGGCCCAGTCGCTATGGTAACGGTGAGACGCAAGTGCACTTGCGCGGCCTTCTGACGGAAAACCTTAGCCTAAACCTAGGGACGTGCTTAGCGACGGCAGCGGCTTGCGGCAGCAGCGTGACTTACGGCAGCCCTCTAGTAGAGCGCCGTTGCGGGTGGAATGCAGAAGCGGCCGCGGGCTAGCAGGCGCCCAGAGCCCGGAGCCGGCTGCGCACCAGCATGACACAGTCGGTGGTCGTACAGGGTGAGCTACGCAGGGCGGATAGAGACCTGGTCGCCGCGGAATCCAGCCGCCTTGTTTCCTGCCTAATGTCCTATTCTCTTTCCTTCGTCTCCTCCGGTCGCAGTCGGCCAGTGCGGAAACCAGATCGGCTGCTGCTTCTGGGACCTGGCACTAAGGGAGCACGCCGCGGTCAACCAGGTACCCGCCCGCAGCCCCCTCGCCTGTCAGCTAGGTCTTCCAGCCTATACGCAGGACATACTCGACTTGAGCTTTCATCTGACCCGTTTAAGATGCATGGGATCTTCTCAGTAAATAACGTACTGGTTTTTAAACATGTTAGTTCAGACACACACTAAACTAAAAGAACCCTGGCCGGCGACCTTAGTCTTAACATTTTTCCTGATTCTCAGGGTCTCCTCTTTATTGGTGTTCGTGTGCAGAGCAGTGAGATTGTATATGGGAAAGTACTGTGTAAAATAGATAACACGTGTGGTTATTGTAGTCCTTAATTTAACCAGTCAGCTTTTAAAAAGATCACCAAGAATCCAGAGAACGCTCATTTGATGGACCTGTTCTGCAGTCCTATGGGTGAAATCCTTTCTTTAGCACCTCCTGCTGAACTTTATCTGTAGATCCCATGGCATTTACTCTTCTAAGGAGATTGGGAAGAATCAGGCTCCGCATTTTGTGATACTTGCTTTTTCTTTTCAGAGCTTCATCCTACCCATTACAGTATTATGTAATTAAAATTGAAAGAACTTGATTTGGGCGAGAAGCAAAACCTAAATGCTATTAACATATGTTTTTCTTTTTAGAAAGGAATTTATGATGAGGCAATAAGCAGCTTCTTTAGAAATGTGGACACCAGGTAAGATGGTATTAAAGTCTGTCACAATGTGATACTTTCAGTTTCAATAGCTTGGGAGATATAATTCTTCAAAGGACAATAAAAATAGCCAGTAGCTGCAAAGTTCTGTTTCTTTGTTTCGTTATTGAAAACATATTCCTTCTATTAGATTATTAATATTATATCATCTTGCAGAACAGGTTTCCCTTTAGTGTGACTTCTTTTAACTTAACCTTGAAATAAGTTTCATTAAAGGAAAGCTGAAATTTTCCCAGAGGGCATCTTGTTAATGCATCCTGTAATAACTAACTTTTGAAAGAAAAATATGTTGTTTACATATATGCTGTAAGTATAAAAATATACTTAAAAAGGAGACAAACAGTTATTGGATTGTTTTTATTTAATAAAGAGTATATGTAAGTACTATATATCTTTTATCTGGAAGAGTAATTTAAGTTGCCGTTCAGGATATCTCCATAAGCTTTTAATATTAAATTATTACGTTCATGCGTTTTCAAAATACTTCATAAAACTAACTGTCGTGTGCTTAAACTGAAAAATATATACTTCATATCAGGCTTTAATCCAATAGGAACATCACTTCTAGTTTAAAATTGTTGGCTGGGTATGTGAGCAGTTATCTTCTAGAGAAAGCTGATTAGTCCCTGCTTCCTGCGTGAATTCCAGAGTCTATCTAGGGCACTGGCTTGCAAACTCAGAAGTGTCATTGGCATCTTGAGATAAGTTCAGTGCTCTCCAGTACAGCCAGGTTAACCAAAGACCAAATTCTCATTTTCTGTCATAGGCACATTACATTAGTAGGAAGTCTTAACTGAAAAGCTATGTAATAATCTGAAGGTTGCTTGGTGACCATGGAATCAGACCAAAGGAAGTTAGATGTATTACTTTAATGGCTGGTATCATTTATCTTTATTTTATGGAGGTATCTGTCATATAGACTATAGATTCCCTCTTATTTGTAGCCCAGAATATCCTCACCTCTAAATTCTCTTGGGAGTCTCAAATTTGCCTCTGTAATACTTCCTTTCAGACGCTTCTCTTGCTAAGTTCCTATGCCCACCTCTTTACTTCTTGTTACCCAACACTTACATTGAGTATTACATAGTTGAGAGTCAGCCTGGGAGCTTTTCTTTCTTCATAAGGTGACTCTTCATAACTACACTCTCATCTCCTTTGTGTGATACTTTATACTTTAACCTGAGAGCACTATTTTTTTCCCGGTAAGTTTAGCAAGCAGAGTTGTGGCATCTTGCACTTCTTTCTGTGTACTATGAACACATGCAGCATCTGTTCCACAGCTTAGTACAAAAAATCTTTTTCGAAGTAAGACCATATCTTTGTGTACTCTTCTTACCAAATTGTTATACCTTTTGAATAGCATGATAGGAATTTACCTACAGCATGGGTTGGCATACATATATTTTCTGTAAAGGACCAGGAAGTAAACATTTTAGGTTATGTGAACCATAAAGTCTTTTGCAGCACTTTTGATCTGTAGCATGACTGTGGACGTAGGTAATACATAAAGGAATGGGTGTGTCCATATTTGAATAAAACTTTATGTACAGGCAACTAGTTGGATTTGGCCTGACAATTGGCTGCCCTTCATATATTCTGTCTTGTGAACTGTCTTTGTTGACCCATATACTGCATTAGATTTCAGTACTTTGGCAACTTATTGCCAACGCGAAATTCTGAGAACAACCTTAGATACTCAATGGTAAATACCAGTTATATCTGCTGATGGGTGTTTAGCTGCAACAGGAAACCACATTAATGGTGGCTTAAGCAGTAAAGGTATCCATTTGTCTCACAAATCTGGAAATCAGATGTTCTAGTTTTAAAGGAATGCCTCAAAGATCTAATACTATATATGTTCCACTGTCCATAAGTGTGCTGGCTTTGTGTACTTGTATTATTACTTCATGACTATAAAATGGCAGTCTCTGCTCCAGGGATCACATCCATATTCATGTTTGAGGCAGGAAAAAGGAAGAAGATAGGCGCCAACTGCATCTGGTCCTTCTTTAAAAGCTTCCCAGAATACTTCCCCTTTATCTCATTGGCTAGAACTGGATTACATGGCCAGCCCTAACTACAAAGAAAGCCAGGAAAATAAGTACCTCACTTTTTCAGCCTAATGGGAGGTAAGTAAGGAAGAAAGAGATTAGGAATAGCTGTTGCGTCTGCCTCACCTGGCCTATAAGCAGTCTTATTATATAAATGGAAGTTAACTTTATTACCTGATAGCGCTATTAGCCATGGAAGATCTTATGACCATTTCTCATTTTTTTTTATCTTTCAGAGTGATTGGTGATGGTGGAAGTATTTCCAAGGGAAAAATATGTTCTTTAAAAGCACGAGTAAGATACATAAGCTTGGATTCTTATATTACATGTATTTTTTAAATAACTATGCTCGATAACTATCATGACAATAAAACTTTAAACTTTTCAAAGTAGAAAAAAATTACTAAGCCACATTTAATATAAATATAACTAAGCAGACATTTGTGTCCACCTAACACATTAGGGGGAAAAGCCCGTACTTTAAAACACTGTGGTTAGCCTTTTTTCAGGAGAAATAGTGTCTACATAAATAACAAAAGGAGCCTTCTTAACTCTAAGGACCTGAAATACATACTAGTACAGTTTAATGTTTTATTCAAAGATATTGGAAGATTTATTTGCATCAAGGTTACTACCAGTACAAAACATGGAACCAGCCACATTGTAGTGAATAAAAACCGTTAACCATGTAAGTTCTCCTGAACCAAGTACTTCAGATTCGTAGCCCATATTTGCAGTCTTATTTACGGTCTTAATCATTCCAACAATATTTCTGTGATTGTTTCTGTGTAACGAACTACTTTTTCTGATTTTTGATCAGTGATCTTTGACTGTAACAGAAAAGAAAGTTTAAATGTTATGGAAGGAATTGAGATGCTAAGGATCAGACCTGGTGTAGTAGCTTAAAGACTGGTGAGCAATACTTTTGTGACATCTGGGAACCATCTTCTATCTGCAATCTCTGATGTCCTTGGAAAACAAAATTTAGGGCAGAGATCATGTGCTTGCAGGCTGTTACAAAATTGACTAACACAGTATGCTTTGTGATGTAGAGAGAGCAGGTATCCCAATCCAAATCTTAGAGAAAAAGAGACTTTGACATTTCCTAGACTACTCCCAACTGAATCTTTTTCCTACAACCATATCAGTAAGCAGATGGAGAGGTGGAGGAAACACTATTAGGAAAAAATAAATCAGCATGTTTTTGTGGCCTTTGACTTTTTTTCCGAGAAGGTACTCTTCCATTTTCTCCTTAGGAGCTCTCAGTATTGTGTGGTTGTGATCACTGAAGAGTCCAGGCTTCATAAGATAGCTTGGTGCTTGGGTCCCTCCACTGTGTTCAGTTTCTTAGGTTAATGAATACTCAGAATTTTATAAATCCTATGTTACAATTAGGGAAAAACCAGGCGGCTCTGAAAGGAAATACAAACATCAAATCCTAGAACAGTTGTGACTCCAGACTTTGGATGCCTAAGTGAAGAACCCAAAATACTCTCCCAAAGTTTAGTTAATTTCCAAAGGAAAAACAAGGGCCTGATGTAACAAGGAAGGTCTGGAAGAGTTATATGTCAGGATTTTAATGTTAAGTGACTAGGGCAATAATGATTCTATCAAAACTAATTTCAGGAGGTACCCGAATATCAGTTTGTATTTGCATATTGCTTCCCTTGCCAGGTAGCAGAGTGATTGAGGGTATAATTTATGTATGTTTAATCTTCCACATACCTCAATAAATCTATTTTGGAACAAGGCCAGTATAATCTAATTTGTTTTTTCTTTTATAATCTCACAACTTGTAGTACTAAAATTTGCCCATACAGTGAAGTCACTCTTTGGTTGGTTTAGGTGTTAAAGTTGTCAGCATTTGAAGTCAAAATTGCGTATTGTCAGAAATACCCTTGAAAATACCTAACATTGCCAAACATCCTATACAGTCCTCTGTATGTAAAGTGTATATATGATTGCTCTATATAAAGAAGCACATTTGTAAAACATAGTTTTATAGTCTTTATGATATACTGCTATATTATTTTAATTGTAAATCTTAAAGTAGCATGGTTAATTACACAAATGATTAAACTCACTGCATAATGGTAACAGAACTGAAAGCCATAAACCAAGCACTTCTTCTGCGACACTGAATCAAAGAGTTAACAAATCATTGTTTAGTGTACCCTAAGCATTTGTTTCAGCTTTGCTTTTTTATTTAACTCTACTTAGTTTACTTTTTCACTGTTCTTCCTCACTGTAGAATATATGGAAAGTACAGGGAAGTGGGAGGATGGGACATATAATCCTACTGCCAAGCTATCCCTGCTTTACGTTTTACTAGATTTCCTTCATCTTTTTTTTTCTGTTCTTTCTTTCCATAATTAATTTCGTGTTTTGTATTCTCATTTCTTCTTAGAAATATAGGTTTTCTGTCATGTCAGCTAAAGTTTGTGGTAATGAATTAGATCGTGAATTACTTGGGGGAAAGGACCATGTTGTTATTTTTCACATCTATCCAGTGCCTTTGCTTTGCACGTAATGGTAAATTTACTCATTTGAATTGAGCAGTTTTGGGCTGTGGTTCATAAAGAGCAGCATGATTGTTCCCGGTATGCAGATGCATTAATGCATCCCATATTTATTGAGAACTTATTCTGGTTAAGGATGCCTTTTACATTTTTGAGACCTTGTTAGAAATTCAGTTGAGGGGATTATTCTTGGGCTTTTTTTCCCCAACTAGGCATTTTAGAGTAGGATAAAAGAATTTAGAATCCATTTTTTAATTGGATTCCACCTTTCAAACAGAGTGAAATTATTTTTTAATTT